TGTTATTCTGTTTTGTTTTAGTTAGAGGCAGTGAGATAATCAGATTTATGTATTTTAATGATTATTCCATTAAGAAATAAGAATACAGGAGGGAGAAGACCCCTGGACTTCAGTTTCCCCATCTGTGAAATGGGACTGGTTCTAGCTTTAATGTTCTAGGATTCTTGATTGTGGTTGAGCCCTGAAGCCTGAGTTCCTGTATATGACAGGTTTTACTAGTGAAAATCAGCCAGGCATTTGTGTTCCTGGCATTTGAAGTCATGAAGACTGTTTCATGTGAATGGGTTTACAGGAAAGGGCTCTCATGGGGTTCCTTTAGTCTAAGGCAGCTAGCTGATGATGTAGTTAGGAGACCACAAAGAATGATTTATCCCGCCCCCGGTCCTCTTACAGTTTCAGGCTCCTGTGACTCATGCTTCTGTGTCTTAGACCTTGGAGAAAGTTACTCCATTTCCTAGGCTGAGACAGGGCCAGCCTGTGCTTCTGTCTCCTCGGCAAGCCTCAGCAGATCATCCTACGGCCCTGGAGAACTTTGTCAGAGGCTTCTCCTTCATCTGGGAACTTGCCCAGATCTGCCCAGCCTGGCTACAGAGCACCTGGGAATCAATTTCCAAATCTTAATGCCAGAGAGGGTCCTAGAGGTCTTAAAGGTGTTGAGTCCAGAGGTTTGCAAATCTGGCTGCACGCTGCAATCACCTGGCAGTGGGAAAAAGGGGCTCTTCCTCATCCCCTTTTGAGCCTAATTCAATATGCATAGAATGAGACCCAGAAATCAGTGTTTTTTTTTTTTTTTTTTTTGAGATGGAGTCTCACTTTGTTACCCAGGCTGGAGTACAGTGGTGCCATCTCAGCTCACTGCAACCTCCACCTCCCGAGTTCAAGCGATTCTCCTGCCTCAGCCTCCCGAGTAGTTAGGATTACAGGTGCCTGCCACCACCAATACACCATTTTGTATTTTTAGTAGAGATGGTCTCGAACTCCTGACCTCAGGTGATCCACCCATCTCGGCCTCCCAAAGTGCTGGGATTACAGGCGTGAGCCACCATGCCCGGTCAGTGAAGTCAGTGTTCCTTTATACTGCCTTGAGGTCACTTACTAGGGCATATGGCATTTGGTGACTACTGTTCTAGTCTCATCTCTTAATTTTATTTGATTTTAAAATTGTATATGTATATTTTTACTCTTTAAGACAAAGAATTATGAAGATAAAACCTCAAAAAAGCCTCCGTTTCCTTAACCCAGTTGGCATAAAAAAATCAGAAGTAATAAATGCTCATGTTGCGAAAATTCAAATGTCATAAAATCATGTTTTATGAACGAAGAATGGAAAGCAAAACCTCTCATTCCTAGTCCAGCTCTTGAAAAGGTAACCACTGTTAACATTTTCCTGAGAGTACACGCAGAAAGTAATTTTCCTGTATATATCCTCACCCATTTACCTACTTAATTCTATAAAATATGAACCAAAGGAATCATCCTACACACACTGTTGCACTTCATTTTTATTTTTTCCACATCTTTTGGCACTCATTACAGATTAGATTCCTCTTAAATGACTAATAAATAAATAAATTTTTAAAATCTCAAATATTTTTCATTTATTCCTCCTGCCTAAAGGAAATGTAATAGCCTTTGACCAACACCTCCCCATCCCCCCCCACCTTCCAGCCTCCGGTAACCACCATTTTGCTTTCTGTTTCTATGTGTCTGATAGTTTTAGCTTCCATAAATAATTGAGAACTTGAGGTATTTGTCTTTCTGTCCCTGGTTCATATCCTTTAGCATAATGTCTTCATGTTCATCTATGTTGTCGAAAATGGCACTCATTCTTTTCCAAGGCTGAATAGTATTCCATTGAGTATATGCCACATTATCTCTATCCATTCATGGTTGATAGACACTTAGGTTCATTCCATAACTTGGCTATTGTGAATAATGCCGAAATAAATATGGGAGTGCAGAAATCTCTTTGACATCCTGATTTCAAATCCTTTGGTTACATGCCTAGAAATGAGATTACTGAGATCATACAGTAACTCTATTTTCAGTTATTTGAGGAACCTCCATTGTGTTTTCCAGAGTAGCTGTATTAGTTAGGTAAATTAATATTTGTAGTGCATTTGGAACAATGATTGATGTGGAGTAAGCACTACATGGTTGTTAAATGAATGAATGAATGGGTGAGTGAATGGATACACAAAAATTGCTGCATGGCATTCCATCATATAGATATACCCTTCTTTATTTTACTATTAGTGGACACTTGCTGTGTCTGTTACCTGAACAAATGACGCAGAAAGTAACATCTTTGTACGTATTTCTTGGGTACTCTCCTTTGGGTATTCAATTTGGTTGATCAGTATCTTACTTAGGGTGGCAACAGCAGACATGGAGCCAAAGGCATTAGAAAGGAAAAACTGGTGATTAGAAAAGAATAGAAAGTAGGATTGCAATGAGGAATTTTGGTTAGAACCTAGAATCACAGAAATATCAATCTTACTTTTGAAAGAAACTGCAGGAGATTGTTCTAGCCTTGCACCCTCTGGGCAGGGCAAGTATTACATCAATGATTCCCAAGCTATGCACTGAAGTGTCCTGGGAGCCCCAGTGAACTCACTGGAAGGAGGGGAGTGCTGCAGGAGTTTTAAGATTTTTGACAGAAATAGTGGTATGTGACATCTCTCAGACACTTTACAAATGACTAGCTTAAGATAGTTCACAGTTTAATCTTACTACATTCCTTTTGTTAATGTTATAATTTATGAAGTTGATGAAAATAAATTTTTTTTGAGATAGGGTCTTGCTTGGTCACCCAGGCTGGAGTGCAGTAGTGTGATCATGGCTCACTGTAGCCTGGAGCTATTGGGCCGAAGCAATCCTTCCACCTCAGCCTCCCAAGTAGCTGGGACTACAGGCGCAAGCCACCATGCCATGCCAACAATTAAAAAAAAAATGTTGTAGAGACGACATCTCACTATGTTGCTCAGGCTGGTCTTGAACTCCTAGGCTCAAGCAATTCTCCCATCTCGGATTCCCAAAGTGTTGGGGTTATAGGCGTGATCCACTGCACCTAACCTGAAGTTGATTTTTTGGTGGTTGTGTGGTATGGCAAGTACTGGGCAAAAATTAATGTGAAATAATAAGTGAGGATGGCATTGTCCAATATTATTCCAAAGTTTCAAAAGTTACACAGTGTTCAGCAGGTACATATATTCCATTAGTAACTAGTTATGAATGAAAATAAAACCTTTTTTGTGTGTATTTTCTTTTTTTTTTTTGCAAACAGCTCCTAAGTTGTTAGGCCATAAATATGTATTAAATTGGTTGATTTTGTCATCTATGATTTCTTTCAACAGTGTAGAGATTTTTTAAAGAACTAAAAGTAAGACTACCATTTGACCTAGCAATCCTACTACTGGGTATCTACCCAGAAGAAAAGAAGTCATTATTTGAAAAATATACTTGCACATGCATGATTATAGCAGCACAATTCACAATTGCAAAATCATGGAATCAACCCAAATGCCCATCAATCAATGAGCGGATAAAGAAACTGTTATATATATATGATGGAATACTATGCAGCCACAAAAAGGAATGAATTAAATACATTTGCAGTGATCTGGATGAGATTGGAGACTATTCTAAGTGATGTAACTCGGGAGTGGAAAATCAAACATCGTATGTTCTCACTGATATGTGTGAGCTAAGCTAGGAGGATGCAAAGGCGTAAGAATGAAACAATGGACTTTGGTGACTTGGAAGAGTAGGAGGGTGGTGAGGGATAAAAGACTATGAATATGGTGCAGTGTATACATGGGTGATGGGTGCATCAACATCTCACGAATCACCACTAAAGAACTTACTCATATAACCAAATACCACCTGTACCCCAATAACTTATGGAAAAATAAAACTACTTAACACTACTACTAACTACTTAATAAATGGAACTTCTTGGTATTTATTTTGACCTGGGGTGCTGTTAAAAAATGACTAAGACACTAACGATACTGTGAATTGAAAACGATTGGGAACAGCTGGTTTATATCCTTATCCATCCGAACTCTTTTAACTGCAAGTGAAAGACACGAAATAGACACTGCTTAAGCAAAAACAGGGAATTATTGGCTCATATATCTGGCGTGTCTAGAGTTGCAGATGGCAACAATCTTGGCTGCATTCAGGTGCTCACATGAGGCCACTTGAGGCTCCATCTATCTTTCCAGCTCTAGGAGGGGCTTGCTGCTTATGGGAGAGATAGCTTCAGGCCAATTCTCTCCAGACTCACATCCTTTCAGTTTAGCAATCCAAGGAGAAAGGATCGTCTTTCCTAAGAGCTTGTGCACAAAAGCTCTGGGGGGAAGACTGGTTGACCTAGCCTGAGTCACTTTCCTAACTCTGAACTGTGGTTATGGAGATTTATAATGGTCAACTCTGGGTCACATATCCATCTCTGTGTTCAGGTCAGTGTCCCAACTAAACCATACAGAATAGGTAGGTTCTCCCCAGAAAGGGGAGAATGGGATAAGGGGTATAGGACCAAAAACAATGCATTTCTCATTTTACAGATGAGAGAACAGACTGGTAGTGTGGTAGCTTAATAGTTAAGCAGGAAGGCTCTGGCGTCCCACCCATCTGGGTTCACTTTCTTGGTCAAATTAATGACCTCTTGTCTTTTAAGGCTTTAGAGGCCTCATCTGTAAAGTGGGTATAACTGAAGGTAAAAGCCAAGAAATAGAAAACAGCAATTATAGTCCCTACCTCAAAAGGTTAATCGTTCAAGTAATGACTGAATGAGTTAATAAACATCAAGTGTCCAGCATACGTCTGGCAATAGGAAGCCCTCAGTAAACGAAGCCATTATAATTACTAATCAGGGAACCTTAAAGTTTGCATATCTGGTAAGCGACCCAGGCTTCTGACTCCTGAGGGTTTCCTTCTAACCAGGGAGGCAGGGAGCGTACACAACAGTGATCTTCCTTTCTTGTCTGTTGCAGAGTGAAGCAACATGGACGCAGTCAGCCAAGTCCCCATGGAAGTCGTGCTTCCCAAGCACATCCTGGATATCTGGGTTATTGTCCTCATCATCCTAGCCACCATTGTCATCATGACCTCCTTGTTGCTGTGCCCAGCCACTGCAGTCATCATCTATCGCATGCGGACTCATCCTATTCTCAGTGGGGCTGTTTGAGAGCCTCCCAAGAGGGCCAGGTGATGGATGAGGACAGGCATCCTGCCCCCAGCCTCTTCCTGTCTTCAGAAAAGCAGCAGGAGGGACTTTGGGGCATGGACCTGAGTTCTGGTTTTGATTTCTGCCATGAGCCAGCTGTGTGAATTTGGTCAAGGGACCTAACTCTCTGAGTTCCAGGTTCCTTATCTTTCAAATGGGGATGGTGATCCCTGCCCTTCCTACCTCACAGGGGTGTGGGAACCACCTGACTTAGTGGAAGTGAAAGCTATGTGAGCAGTAAAACTACCACAGATATAAAGGTGTTATGCTGAATGCTGAGAAGCTTTGAAGAACCAGAGAAACTGATTGTTTATGATGGCCTTAAAGGTGGTGAGGGAGATATTGGGGGCAGTGCAGACTTTGCCAGTGCCCCTCAGGTCAAACCAAACCAAGCAAGCACCCCGTCCCCATCCCAAGGGGCCAGCAGGACTTTGGCTCAAAGTTATTTTCTTTAAGGTGCCATTCCTTCATGTTTTCTCAGTTTGGAGGGAGATGGGTAGAGCTTTCCAGAACATTCTCTATGCCAGAATCTCTGCCCTTGTGTAATCTGAAGGATGACTGTGCCATCTTTGGGCACTGCCAAGGGAGTTGGGGTGATGGGCTTCTTTCTGCCCTGGAGTCTCACGTCTGTTAGCTTTGACACTCAAGCCATGTTGGCATATGCAGGGTGGCGGAGTTCCCTGCCCAGCTTTTGGGGTCTCTGGCCCCCAACCCCTTGTGTGTGTCCCTCTGTCTAGCTAATGCTGTAATTAGCTCCATGTGTACCCCCTTCACTCCCTCCCACCAGCACTGCAGCCAGCCTAAGGCAATTGTATTTTAAGAGATGTTCCCGGGACTTTTGGGACCTACCAAAACAATGATGGCTATTTTAGATGTGATAATTTATATTTATGTAGAGATATTTCTGGACCATTCAAACTCTTCAATACCAATATTAGGAGCATCTTGCAATTTATTAAATTATGTAAGAAGATAGCACAGATATCAGGATATTACTGTGTGAAAATGATGCTTTTACTTCGAAGGGATCTCATTGATGTATACAATCAATTTCCAATAAAGTGCTAGAATGTGCATGTCTGAGGTCTTTCTTTAAAGAGCAACTGTTAAACTCAGAACTCAGGTAAAAGTCTTACACTGAATTTATCGTCCTTCGAGACAGTTTGCATTTAGTAACAGGAGAAGAATCAAATTTACTTCCAGGGCTCTAGCTTCAGCGTGTGGGTCAAGTTGTGCAGGTTACACACAGATAGTACAGAGGGGAAGAACAGATTTTGAATATCAGATTCAAATAATGACAAGACAATGAATTTAGTATTGGACATGTTGCATTTGAGGCGCTTGTGATATTGAGGTGGACACATTCAGGATGCAATTGGAGATCTAAGTTTTTTCTTGGAAAAGATGTTATGTTTGGCCTTAGGGTATGGGGGATTAACCCCTATGGTAGATAAGGCCGTACAGGTAGATAGGATCAGAACACAGCCAGTGCTCGACTTACGACCACGATTGGTTCCGACAGACCGGTCATAACACGATTTGGTCGTAAGTTGCGTAGGCTATATGCACGCGGAGATGGTAGTGCTGCCAGAAGCTGGTCCGCACTGTCGTACGCCCGGCTGGGCAACGTTTGCGCTGCCAGACACGGAGCAGTCGTGGCTAGCAATTGTGGTCGTAAAGTCGAACGGTCGTACGTTGCATAGGTCGTAAGTCGATCAATACCTGTATACAGACTTTGAAGAGTGAGGTGCTAAATGCGGAACTTTGAAGACATTAAATAGGAGTGGAGGGGTGATAGAAGGGGAAAAAAGCAGAGAGACTGGATGGGTCCTGTGATACGAGGTGTTTCTACAGAGGTGCAATAATATTTTGTGTGTGTATGTATATATATATATATATATAATTTTTTTTAGCAGAGATGGGGTTTCACCATATTGGCCAGGCTGGTCTCGAACTCCTGACCTCAAGTGATCCACCTACCTCCACCTCCCAAAGTGCTGAGATTACAAATGTGAGCCACCTTGCTTGGCCCCAGTAATATTTTGTAGGTTAAGAAAGGAGTGGAAGGTTAGGAAGTTGAGACAGTGAGAACAGAAACCTTTCCAGGAAAAGCACTGTAATACAGAGGTAAGAGTTAGAGGAGAGCATCAGGGGAAAATGGTGACAGGGACTTCTGTCTTAGTACATTCCGGTGGCTCTAACAAAATGCCTGAGACTGGTAACTCAGAAACCACAGAAATATACTGCTCAGAGTTCTAGAGGCAGGGAGGTTCAAGGCACATGCAGATTTTGCATCTGGTGAGAGTCTGTCCCTCATACATGGTGCTTTCTATGTGTCCTCATGGCGGAAGAGGCAAACAAGATCCCTCAGGCCTCTTTTATGCAGAAACTAATCCCATTCATGAGAGCAAAGTCCTCATGACCTTATCGCCTCCCAAAGGCTTTACCTCTTAGTACTAACACCATGAGGGTTGGGTTCCAACATATGAATTTTGCGGGGGACACAAACATTCAGACCACAGAAACCTTGCAGGTCATAAGATTCTGATTGGTATGCTCAGCATCTCTTCCAGCTGTGTTTCTGGTGAGCCTTCCTGGATGGCAGAGGCTGGAAAGTAAAACAAACAAACAAAAAATAAACGAAAACCACAGACAAAGTAAAAACCTGTATGTTTGTGACTACACTTGATAGGGATTCAAACGTGATTTAGGCTTTGCTGTTCAGATGCACGTATGCCAGGTTTTAGTTTGGAACCTAGCTGAGCTGGGAGAGATAGGACAGGGTGTAAGGCAATCACAACACTGGTGTGAATCCCAAAGCTGCAGCACACTCTGGAGCCAAGCCCACAGCTTTCCGATCCCTGGATCTCAGTTGAGATGGGACAGTCCTGCAGCCCACAGCCAAGACTGTGTCTTTCTTGTTCCCTAGCTTCCCACTTGTTATAGAAGTGGTAGTAGCTCCCCAAGATGGTCAGTTTTGCACTGTCGATCTGGGAGGAATTCTAGTAACCCCTGCCTTCTGTGTGCCCCCAATCCTTTTAATGATTTTAAGCACATCATTCCCTATATTAAAGCATGTTTAGGCTGGGTGTGGTGGCTGACACCTATAATCCCACACTTCGGGAGGCCAAGAGGTCAGGAGTTTGAGACTAGCCTAGCCAGCGTGACGAAACCACCTCTCTACTAAAAATACAAAAATTAGTCAGGCGTGGTGGTAGGCGCCTGTAATCCCAGCTACTCAGGAGGCTGAGGCGGAAGAATCACTTGAACTTGGGAGGTGGAGGTTCCAGTGAGTTGAGATCACACCACTGCACTCCAGCCTAGGGAACAGAGCAAGACTTTGTCTCAAAAATAAATAAGTAAGCATATTTAATTTTTATTTGCTAGAGTATACCTTAATTAGTCCAGATGGAAGAAAAATCTGTTAATTCCTACAAATTATTATTTTAGCAATTCAACTTGTAAGTCCATCATATGATCCAGAATTATGCGGGAAGAAGTTTGTTAATGGGAGGCAGATGGTCTTCTAGAAATAGAGATAGCAAGGAACTGGTGGTTTCAAGGAGAGCTCAGAGAGGTCTGTTGCTGGTGACGGAATGAGAACTTTGCTTATAGTATTTCTGAAACAATGTTATAATAGTGAGCATTCTGAGAGGGCAATATAGGCATATCACTTGAGGTCAGGAGTTCGAGATCAGCCTGGTCAACATGGTAAAACCCTCTATTAAAAAAAAAAAAAAAGAGCAGCACTGTTTATAACAGCAAATACTTGGAACCAACCCAAATGCCCATCAAGCATAGACTGGATAAAGAAAATGTGGCACATATACACCATGGAATACTACACAGCCATAAAAAAGGATGAGTTCATGTCCTTTGCAGGGATATGGATGAATCTGGAAACCATCATTCTCAGCAAGCTGACACAAGAACAGATGTTCTTGTGTCACATGTTCTCACTCATAAGTGGGTGTTGAACAATGAGAACACATGGACAAAGGGAGGGGAACATCACACACTGGGGTCTATTGGGGGATGGGGGGCTAGGGGAGGGATAGCAGGGGGTGGGGAGATTGGGGAGGGATAACATTAGGAGAAATAGCTAATGTATGTGACAGGGGAATGAAGGCAGCAAACAACCACGGCATGTGTATACCTCTGTAACTAACAAACCTGCAAGATCTGCACATGTACCCCAGAACTTAAAGTATAATAATTTTTTAAAAAGTGAAAAATAAAAGAAGAGTGAGATCTTTGGGTTAGAAAATGTATAGTGTTTTTTGAAAAGAGAATGAAAAGACAAATTCCAAATCCAAACTTGTTGGCCTCTTTGAAAAATAAGGGGTCTGGTAATAACAGAGTTTAAAAATTGTATCTATTGAAATCAGTGCTTATATTATTTAGTTGTGTGAGATGATTCACATTTAAAAATGTAAAGAATATATATGTGCTTATAGGTAAGAACAATACATAAACATATTTTTCAATGCTCCCAATACATATTAGTTCATGTTTCCGCATTTAACACTTACTGAAGGTAGCAGAAGTAACATTTTGCAAGAAAAGAATGTTTGGTAAATCAGAACACTATTTCTTGTAATAACCAAAGAGCATGAATAACGTTTCTGCCAAACTTCTCCCTCCCCAACTCCTACTCCAGAAATAACCAACTAATTTGATAATTACTAGAAGAAAAAAAGTGAAACAATTATAATATTTATACAGACATAAAGGAATGGTCTGGTAATATGAAACAAACAATGAAATAAAACAGGATAACTGAGCACTGTCTATTATAATGGTAGTCAACAAAAAGCAAAATACAAAATTGCACCTTCTCAACAACACCTTCAGAGTTTTCATACAATGGGCTAAGGGTGATAATCTAGTTGAAAAATGTAACATGAACTACTATAGGTTTTTCATAGCTCTTTATGTAAGATGTAGAAAAGCTCCAGGCCCATTCAAAAGAATTTGAGGGTCCTGTGACCAGAGATAACATTTAGAATACATATGCATCTGCATCAAACACAGATGGGAAGGAGCATAGTGGAGATGATGAGACCTTTGTTGGGGCAGTGAGATGATGGTGACAATTTCTTTGCATTTGATTCTTTTTTTTTTTTTTTTTGACACGGAGTTTCGCTCTTGTTACCCAGGCCGGAGTGCAATGGCGCGATCTTGGCTCACCGCAACCTCCGCCTCCTGGGTTCAGGCAATTCTCCTGCCTCAGTCTCCTGAGCAGCTGGGATTACAGGCACGTGCCACCATGCCCAGCTAATTTTTTTTGTATTTTTAGTAGAGACAGGGTTTCACCATGTTGACCAGGATGGTCTCGATCTCTTGACCTCGCGATCCACCCGCCTCGGCCTCCCAAAGTGCTGGGATTACAGGCTTGAGCCACCGCGCCCGGCGCATTTGATTCTTTATTAGTTACTAGGTTGGTGCAAATGTCATTGTGGATTTTGCCATTACTTTTAAAATGGTAAAAACCGTATTACTTTTGCACCAACCCAATACAATGATCTATAACAAAGTCATGAATACATGTATTGTCAATTTGTCACTAATAAAATTATTTTGGTGGTATTTTGTTCTGTTTCTTGTAAAGGGGTAATTTTTGCTGTTATACTTCAAATGTAACTGGCTTCATCTGATTTCTTTTTTTCAATGAAACCTGTGTCTTTGGAAACCAACATTCTAATGGCATGCTTCTATGCCTATCTGCTAGTCCAAGGGAATGCAGTTTGGGAAACAGTGAGTGTGTGTATGTGTGCACACTCCTGTGTGTATGTGTTGAAGAGTAACATGATCCACCTGACATGTGCATGCATACCTGTTCATATTATGTAGCCATCCATTTCATAATAAATATGTTTGGAAATAAATTTGTAGTACTACCTCCCACACAGCAAATCTTATTTCCTTTTAGTTTCATTAATAGTATTTAGTATCAGCTGCCACTAATAAGGATTATTTTTAATTTGCAGATGGAAAGCTTCTTCCTTTCCATCACAAATCAAGTGTTTCTTCTCAAAGGTCATGGTTCTCTAACTTTAGGATGTACCAGAATCTC